ATGTTACAGATCAGCAGGGAGAGGGTTTTTTTCCCGTGAAGAATGTCTTCTCATCATGAAATCTTTACTATGAATGCAAATAATTACACTGCATTTTCTTTCCTTGTGATTTCAGCTAAGAAGGGTGTTTTCAGATTTTGGGACAGGCCTTTTTGTACTGAATAATTCTTCGAACTTCTCTGTTTAGAACAGAGGATCTGTAGTAAAATGGCGCCTTGAACAGATAGTGAAGGGTGAAGCCAGACACGAGAAGTTTACAACATGTTGGACCATAACAGGCTGTGGATCAGATTGAGCTTTCCTGCAGGCTTCAGCTGGCTTTGGATCAGACTATGCAAGTGCTCGAAATGGAGACTTACACATCGGAAGGAAAAATGTCAAAAATCAGCTGATGCAGAGCTGGTGTTCGGACAGTGTCTTCCAGCATAGACAACGTACTGTGACACTGGAGAAGTCACGTCTCCTTACTTTCTTGATTAGTAAAATGGGAATTTTACCAGCTACTTTCCCAGCAGCCCTCTAAAGCTTGTATGATGCTCATTAGAGTGCTGCGATGAAAGTTGTGTATTTATGAACAGTGTCTCATTTAACGTTCTTAATACCTGTGACTTAATAGAGAGTATATGACAAAACGAATTGTTGTGTTTTTAACTGGGCAGTGACTCAGATGTGATGGTGATCACTGTGTGTGGTTTGTGGGTGTTTTTTGGTGGTATCTGCATGGGTAGGACTGGTTTATTATTTCTGTATGTTGACTTGGTGTGTCTGATATTGAGACTGAGTTGCTGTCTCTACGTGTGCATGTTTCTGCACAAGGCTAGGGACAGCACTGATCACTGTGGTGCTGATGCCACAGGTGGAGCTTGTGAGGGTCTCTTTCTCTGTTCTGAGATCATCTCCAAATCTGCCATTACCATCCTCAGTCATGGACGGCTCTGCCAGCAAGTGAATTCACCCGACTGTGTTATTCCTGCCATCAAACAAACACACGTTATGAGCCACAAAGCCATACTGGATGTGCCATTGTGTAGGCAGGACCTGCCATGAGGGATCAGAACTCGATTTCTTCAGCCTTTGACACAGGTTATAAGTCTGGAGAAGTTCTGCTGACATTGCTATGATATGAGAGGAGACTACAAAATTTCTTTTAGCCGTAGTCAAATTTAATTTTACATGGAAGGAAAGTGGGTGCTGCTGTACCACAAGTTTCAAGGACTTGTGATCCAATTGCACAGTACCACAACATTGTTCAGTGTTTCATCTCTGAAGTAACTCATGCACAACTGACTGAGATAAGGACGCTGGCAGCATTTCTTTTTCTTTTGAGATGAAAATCGTCATGGAAGTGCAAGTGGTGACCAGCAAATCAAGTTAAATTCTCAGTGCTTTAAAAATGAGGGGGTTTTGCTCACCATTTGTTGTTGATGTTACACAATGAGCTTTCCTTTCACTAATGCTGTGTGACTTTGAGGCTTTGCTTTTTAAGTCCAATACTACAAGTTTTTAATTGACAGGATGTGATCGAGGGTAGAATGACAAACCTTTCCCCGCTGCTTGTTGATTCAAACACAGTGCAGTGTTAGAAGTCTAATGGTGAATGAGTTCCTGCAATGGCTTAGTGATTCAGTCCAAAGCAGAGCAGTGACTGTCCTACCATTAACTGCTGCTGCTTTATTGCCTGAGCAGTAAAGATGCTTTTAGAGCACACAGACACTGGTTAGAGCGTCAGCCTCTGAAGAATCCAAACTTACAGTGTTTGTGTTTAGTCTCTGCTGAAAACCAGGTGAGCCTGTTCTTTTTTTTTCTTGTGAGAAGAGTGAAAGCTTCTTTATTCCAGGGATCTGTATTGGTGGTGCTGCTCACAGCTGTTTAGAAAAACCTAATGGAGCTGGTTGTTTGAGTGGGGGATGTAAGGGCAGCCATGTAACCTGCAGGAAAGCTGTTTGTTTCGGAAGTGAGGAGGTGTCTCAAAATTGTTATTTTTTCCTTCATCAGTTTCTGTTAGGTTTTGGGTGAAGACACGGGTTCATTAGGTTTCAAATGGCCTCAGGAAGCAGGGTGCAAAAAAAAATATTTCAGAAGGCTGATTCACTGCATTATTTCTGTGACATTCAGGTCATAGACTTTTCAGTTTTGCATTCTTGCACAGAAAATGCATAAGAAAGCAAGTCTATCCATCCCCTGGCTTTGCACAGCATTCAGTCACTTTTTATGAGAGAGGAAAAAAATCAGCTCTTGGCAGAGGTAAGTCACAAAGAGGAGTTAAACAGTGAGTTTGACTTCTACAGGCCAGCTTTGCAAAGATAAGATGTTATTTTGTATTGTGTAAAGTGTTAGAAAGGTGAAAGGTGAGGAGCCTTACCTTTTTTTGCAAGTTCCTGAAGAGAAGCCTCTCCAGACAGGAAATGTATAGAAAATTCTTCTTGATGTGAATCTGCCTTGGTGGGTTAATGAACAATTTCATTTCTTGGCTTAGTGTTTGGGTTGAGTTTGACTGTGATGTCAGAGACAATTTCAATATGTATGATTCATGTTACATAGAAAACTTGAGATAATTAGGCTTTTGTTGAATGTTCTGGTTGCTTTTTCTCTGCATTAGTTGATTTTATGCAGATTTACTGTATATATGGATGAGTTTGGCAAAGTGCATATTTAATATGATTAATGAGGTTTGCATATTCTGTAGAAAATAACTTATAAAATGTGGTGTCTTTTCTTCTTCTTAGACAAGGTTTAATGATAGTGAGTGCTGTGCTTCAGAACGTATCTTTTAAAGATTAATTTGGTGCTCAGCTTGTTTTCAATAAAAGCTCTATGAATGTTCTGGTGAATATTTACAGGTGAGGAAGGGAGTCAGAGTAGCCACATAAGAGCACTAGGTATATTAAGGTGGGGAAGAAAGTAGTTACCTGTGCTGTAAAACTCGAGCTGACATCCTTATTATTGCAAACTGGGACGCTGGCTCCAAGCCACCTCAGAGCGCGTCAGTCGCAAGCACAGTCTGTGCAGCAGTGCTCACTTCTTTTTTGAAAGGATTCTAAACAAAAGCTGGCTGCCACTGAGCGTTTGAGAGCTATGGGTCGTAGAAACAAACAACAAACTGTAGGGTGAAGTTGTCGCTTTAAAGTGTCTTCATTTCCTGCCAGTGACACTTAAGTAAACTGTTCCAAGGCTGATTTTATATGAAGTCTTCCTTCCCTGGCCTTTGTCTGGTTTTCAGCATCTCTGTGTTTGAGCATTACTCCAAGGGGCGTGTCAGATGCCACAGCAGTCTCCCCATCCCTGAACCTCCTGTGTTTTACTGGCCCGTAAAGAATGACTGTTTATAAACTCAGGATTGAAGCATCCCTCCATCGTGGCATCAGCAAAAGCTCTGCCAGTTTTGTTAGGCTGCCCCTTGCTGGCAAATCGGCTGGATGCTAATCTTTCAGCTATTTGGTAGAGGATTTTTTATGACATTTGTCTTCGATTGAGTGAGAATGTGGTCTAGCACACAAAATTTCTCTTTGCTTAGGTGCCTGTTGCTTTCTTGTGGTGCATAAGAAAAAAAAAAAAAGCACCTTTTTCTCTTCTGCTGCGCAGCAAAGCATTGGCCAGTTGTCTTCAGAAGAGTTTCGTGCTTCCATACACAGGCTAGTAAGATTTTCATGGCCGTGATATCTGTTAAGGGAAATGGTGGAACATACATAATCCTGTGATAAGAATTCATCAGCCACTGATAAGGTAGGATTTTTGTAGTGCTGCACAAATTGAAAACATATTGTGTTATTTAATTTAAATTATGTGCAGCCTGAAATGTTTACTTTATCTTTAATTATAAACCTACATTACTACAAGATGTAATTGAGATAGCACCTATGTACCATATCACCTACTAATTGCCTACATTTACTGAAGATAATACTCTTCTATGTGTGTATATAAGAATGAGCAAGGCTCTAGTGCGGTAACTTATTTTTTTCAGTCAGACTGGCTGTTAAAACTATTCTTTGTTGCAAGAGTAGCTCAGACGGAACAATGCAAATTGCATGTTTTTCCTTTTGTAAGAATGACAATGCCAAGTATTCCCCTGCAGAGAAGATGAATAGAGGCAGCTTCAGCATTGCTTTCTAATCATTCTACAGAATCCAGTAGACAATTAAGACCACTACTGAATTCCTGAAGGTGGACTGAGAAAAATAACAATCTCTGTGCAGTTCTGTGGGAAACAGGATTTATTTCTGTGCATTGCTGTAGGTTTCACTCTAATTAGGTTCTAAGAGACTGGCAAAGCCAAATAGCTCACCAGTTAAAAATAGGGAACAAATGTGGAAGAATCTTGCTGGGGGTTGATTTTGTTTTGTTTTGTTTTGTTTTTTGACTCCAGAAAGGAGAACTGAAGCTGTGGAAAATGCTTAGAGGCACCATCGGCCGCTTTAGGACCAGTTAGATAAGACTTAAATTGTTGTGTAGTAGTTTGCGTACTAAATGTGTACATACATTATGTATGTTATGCGACCACTGTAAAAATGCAGGAAAATGAAAAGAATGGTTCAAAAATAAGCTGAAGGTGCCAAGACTTATTGAATTCCTGTCAATGATAACTTATGAAACTTTATATGGGTAGATATTTTAAAAAGACAGGAAAATTAATTCCTTAATACTTTAAAAAGTTGGGCTCTATTTTTTTAAGTGTTCATAAGGTTAGGAGTTGGCCATTTTTTAAGGCTACTTTGTTATATATTTGCTTTTCAGCTCATAATTATTGGCAAATGATGGTAAACCAATAACAAATATACAGGGACAGGCTTGAGCTTGCCACTAATGTGTATTGTTTCCATATCCCTAGGGCAGTAAACCCTTTTGGGAAGGCTTTCTAGAGGAAGAGCTGTTCGACTGCTCTGAAGTTGATACGAGCTTCTCTGAGAAAAACAGCGGAGCCTAAAGGACCTTCGATAGGGATCAACTGTTTTCAAGTACCTGTGCTTTTCTACCAACTGCTGCAGAGCAGATCAGCAGACATGTCCACAGCACTCAAGCAAGTCTTTAATAAAGATAAGACATTCCGCCCAAAGCGCAAGTTTGAACCTGGGAGCCAGAGGTTTGAACTACACAAGCGGGCGCAGGCCTCGCTGCACTCAGGTGTGGACTTGAAGGCAGCCGTGCAGTTGCCCAGCGGAGAGGATCAGAATGACTGGGTTGCTGTCCATGTGGTGGACTTTTTCAACAGGATCAACCTCATTTATGGAACTGTCTGTGAGTTTTGCACGGAGAAGACCTGCCCAGTGATGTCTGGAGGCCCTAGGTATGAGTACCGGTGGCAGGATGACAGAAAGTACAAGAAGCCCACGGCATTGCCGGCACCCCAGTATATGAATCTCCTCATGGACTGGATCGAGGTGCAAATCAACAATGAGAATATATTTCCTACAAATGTAGGTGAGTGTGAGGGAAGTCTTAAAGCATAAACTACCCTTCATTCTGTGCCCCAGGGTGGGGACAGGGAGTGTGTCTTGTGAGGAATAGCGTGAAATACGTGAAATGTTGACTGGGGCCATGAGGTTTGGTGCTGTTTGTTAGCCTAAAGTGTTTTCTTTCAAGCCATTTGTCCCTGATAAGCCTCTAAGAGGAATCAGTAAGGGTGATCAGCTTTACCTGGTCCACTCAGGCAGGTACAGGCTGGGTGGAAAGCAAAGCCTGACTTGAGTGCCCCCCTCCCTTTGAAGTGTGTGTACCTATGTGCAGTGGGGAGTCAGGAATGCAGTGAACTCTACCCTCCCACCCTCTCTTGATTTCCCATTCCAAACTGGTGAATTGGGAAGAGAATTAATCTCCAAATTACTGATTCTAAGACAATATATAACTACCAAAATTTGCCATGATTTAAGCAGACAGTCCACATGAGACAGCTGTTAAGGGTAGCAGAGTTTTCCTTTGTAATTGGGTAGTTAAGTTTCCTGAAGAGTGGGGCAAGTAGATGGAGGTTTCTTTAGGTGTCAGGTAGGTATCTTTGCTGAAATAGTTCCTCTAGATGAGGAGGGCTTTGCAGAAGAGTGCATTGTGTGGTATAGACAGCCTAAACCTTTAGCTATGGCTGCATGTAATAAAAAAACCAAAAAAACCCCAAAACCTCAGGGTGTTAGACCTTGGAGATATCAACATACTTACATAACTTTTAGCAGTTTCAGTTAATGAATTCTGATTCACTTCTTGCAAGTGGGAACTTGCTGGGAGCTTGCTGTAAGAAATGGGAGATGTTATGTTTAAGTACTTGACCCAGATGAGTAACAAACAAGAGGAATGCTCATGTGTTAAAATTGGTTTAGCACAGTATTTTGCAGTTCATGTGCAGCAAATCTGCACTGTCTTTGTCAGTGCAGCTGGCTAACTGGTAGATGATGCATTAAAAGGCTGTGCCTATCGGTATTTTGTGACCTTTGAAATACCTTATTCTTGTCCTCAACAGCTATTATTATGAATGAACTTGTCGTTTGTTTCCCAGTTACCATCGCTTTTCTACACTAATAGGTTGAAAGAAGACAGTAACTATATCTTGTCATCTGGACTTTGCCAGCACAGCAGGAAAAAGGAGGATTTCAAAGGAATCAGTACCATGCATTTTATGTAGCAAAAAATGAGTTTGATTTCTCAAGCATTTTTTATGTTTCCTTGAGATGAATGATTTTGGAATTCAAAGTGCAGTGATTTTACTTCCATCAGTATTCCTGCGGGCTTTTGTTATACCAAATTTCCATACTGGAGTATGTGCTCTTGCATTTTGCGTAGGCAGAAAATGTGATCTGTCTGCAAGTGTTGGGAGCAGGTCATATGTTGGCATGCTGTTAGGTTTTACTGAATATACAAATATTATGCAATACACAAACTTTCAGCTCTAGGTGCTCACCCCTTATGTGTGTAGTAAAATACATCCGGAGGAACTTTTATCCTGAAGGCTTACCTGTTCTAAGCCTGATAATGGAATTGGTAAGTACCTTCAGTCTACTGTTTTTCTTCTCCCAGCAGCTCTTGCTGTTACAGATTAAATCAAATCTGAATAAACTGAGGCAGGGGAAAGATCTGTGGTCTCTGGAGCAGGACTGGACTCTGATGCAATTCAGAACAGGAATGCTTGATGTCTGTGAAAACTTTGTCTCTCTCTAAATTGACCCAAAGGAGAGGGAAAAGTCTGCTTGAGCCTTCATGAAGTGGTGAACTGTGCCGTGGTTGTATCACAGACCTTCGAAGGTGTCTGCACAGTCTGCACAATCCTGTAAAAAGATTTTATAAATACCCTTTGGAGCATTATTTCATAGAGCAACATTTACATCTGTATTCCGCTTTTCCCTCCTCTTGAGCCATTGTCGCTGAAACCATAGTGACTGCCTACACAATTCTCATTATCTTCTTGATTCGCCAGTTTGTGGTATGAAACTGATAATAAAATTGCTTAGAAGGCCTTAAAGCTGAGACACAGATGCGCACTGCATTGAACTCAGTGCTCTGGTACCTCTTCTCTCACCAATTTCCTGCTTAGGCACCCAGAGAGGTCAAAGGGAAGTTTGTGTCTGTTCCTGGTTAAGTTACTTTTTTTTTGAAGGGAATCTTTCAGATTTATTTGCACATCAATCCCCTGTCTGTAAAACGGAGATGATCTGACAGCTTCTGGGTACTGCTTATGAATCTGTTGAAATGCAGTCGCTCAGCATCTATATTGTTACGTGTTTTGCTTTTCACATTTAGTCTGAGAGAAGCTTTGTGGTTATGTCGGGTGCTGTTGATTCCTACATGTTCTGCAGCAGCCTTTGGTTAGGTGCATCGTAGACTCATAATAATGCAAACCTCTATTTGCATTCAGAGAAATTAATGATGGGGAAAATGATAGCTGTTAATTCTTCTGACCAGTTGAAATAGACCTTGAAAGATTGTGTAATCAGATGTGAAACCAAAACAGACTTAGGTATGTCCTTACTAAATAGTACAACAGTTTAAAAACATTTGGTGGCAGTAAGTTAGAGATTCATTTATTGCTTCAAAACTTTTGAATCTTTGTATCATATGGTCTACAGAGAATTGTTCTGGAAAAAGTGTATGTCCAGGAATGGGATTTGGGCTGACCTTCCCATCAGCAAATGGGTTTGGTAAAGAGATGCAGAGTGGGATTCACAGGAGCTGTCCGCAGGAGCTTGAACACATTTTTCTGCCCTTAATGCTGTGAAACTTGTCTTCTTTTGTTTGACATATCTGATGCAAACTCTCTAAAAAGGGATTTCAAGAACTGTGACTAAGCACAGCTTTCACTCAGGAGCTACTTTCAAGGAAAGTCATTTCAGGATAGGCATAGCCTATTTAAAAAGAAGCCTTGCTGGGCTTTTCTTTTTTTGTTAGTGGTGCTCCTCTATGGTTTAAAAAAAAAAACCCCAAACATGAATACAGTTGAGATATAAATTATTATAAATGTTACATTTAATCCTATCAGTGTTTTCAATGGCTTAATGACCTCTGGCCACTCACGAGTCTGTACTCCGTGTGGTCTGGTGCTATTTCCCCCCTGCTTTCTCCTCATTCTATTCTATTTATTTGCGGGTAAAGAGCCTCTTCCTCCAGCCACTCTGCTGCTAATACTGATCTCACTGGAAAAAGAAAAGAGAGCTGATGGGGGAACAGAAGAGCTGTTGGATTGTGTGCAGGTGACAAAACCGAGTGCTGGGTACTAGGACCATGTCTTTGTACAGCAAAGCTTTTCTAGAGACTGTCTTTGTCAAATGACCTCACAGGCTGCATAGATTTTTAGATGTGGTTATGTCCTTGTTCATGTTTCCGTTGCTCTCATTTTCCTTTAACTATTTTAAGTGGATTTAAGACCTGTAAGAGACTGACAGCTTTGAAAAGAAGTTCTGCATAGAACCACAGGTACCTCCTGATCTGTGTCAGCCCTCACTGGGTGGGAACGCGGGGACAGAATGAGGGACAGTTCACTCTGTGCACCTGCTTAGCCCACTTTGATGAAGCTATCCATGTTAGTCTCCAGTGTGAGTTTCTGTAGTGTGCTGGATTTTTATTTAGCTTTAAGGTAAATTCCTTTTCTTCGGTAAATACTACTTGTTCTTGCAAGCACCTAGTAGTCTCACTATTTAAACATCTTTCAAGGGGTATATTTCCCAGGCTTAGGTAGACAGTTTAAATACTCCATAGCCTCAAAAGTACCTCCCTTCCATCCCCCCCGACTTTTTTTATCTCTGTACTTTTGTTATAAGGAGGCTGAAGAAACCATTTGGAGTGGGAAGCGGTAGATCCGTGGAACAACTGCACATTGTCAGCTTTCACCATATGTCTTCAGGCAGCGTCAGAAAAGTTGCTAAGAAAGCAAGCAGCTCTCTATGCTGTGCTCCCTTTAGGCCTTGATTCCCAAACAAGACAAATCCAGTTATCTTAGGGTTTTTTCTGCTCCTCACTGCAGCCTTAAATCGGGAGTAATTCTGTTTTGTTTGGATTTTCAGTGAATAGAATGGTTTTTTTCTGTTGTAAGAATCGCTGGGAAAAATATCAAGATTTTTAAAGCCACAGGGGATTATTTAATTTATTCTAATCTGACCTCCAGCATAACACAGATGAGAGAACATCACCATGTGATTTCTTCATTAAGTCCATAGTCCAAAATGAGAAGACAGTCAGAAGACAGAGAGTTCCGCTGAAATAAACAAGAACATGAACTTCTTTTCTGACTTGACATAATGAGAATTTTTTCCCCATGAGGACAACAGAACGACTGAGAGGGGACCCAGAGAGGTTTTACTGTCTCCATCCTTTGGGGTTTTCAAGACTAGGTTGGATAAAAGCACTGAGCAACCTGCTCTGATCTGATGGCTATATAAAGCAGAGAGCTGGGTTGCAGACCTCCTAAGATCTGTGCCAGCTCCGATCATCCTGTGATTCTTCATTCTAATTTCAGCACTGACAGGCTGCTACAGGAACAAGAGCTAAGTTGTTTAGAAACTGATTAAGCGGTTTAAGAAGCTGCAGTCTGGCATTTAATGGAAGTAAAAAATCACTTTTAAGCAATAAGAGATTTTATAGAAGATGATTTCAAAGGTTACTAAGTTATGGTAGTGAAATAGCCTGGTTATGGCTGATCAAAATGAAAACATGTTTTAAAGTATTCAAAGCCTAGGGCTTCTGCTGAAAATTAAGGTATCTTTACAAATGCACTGCTTGGTCCATGCTTAACTAGTAAAATTGTAGCTGGCAACTTCACAGTTTTTGCAGACTTTGCCAATTCCAGAAAAGGAGCCCGGTATGTCACCACAATGCATCTACAAAAGCAGACCGAGACTCTGGAGGGCTCTCATGGATGTGATTCAAAAAAACTACTAAATCAAGAATTAAGCTTTTTCAGTTTTCTTACTAGTATTGTGGTTGAATTTTTCCAGTTCTCTAGCCAG